TTGGTTGTTCTCTACCGCTGACTGCGTGCCTCTACGGGACCCTTGCATCGATAAAAGTGCTGTACCTTGAGGATAGCGCATGCGAAGTATTGAGACGGCATTGGGGTACCACAATCCTACCGTTCCGTACCTGTGCACTTTGAGTGGAAAATGTGGCACGCTGTTGCAGCTGCGGGCTCCTTCTCGCACATGGGACCGTACTCGGAGGTGAGTGCACATTTTGTTTTCAAGGACACGAAATGAAAGCACAAGCTCAGCTCTAAAGCCTCGGATATGAAATCACTCCTCGAACCTACTAGTTCAACAGAGTCTGCGATAGCTCCGCAAAACGAAGCTCATCCTTGCACATCGTGGCCCTGTTCGCACTCGCAGAGGAGGTACCACCCTCGCTTCTGCTAACCATCAGGGCTTGATAAGACCGCTACGCTTCCACTGCGTTAAAGGCAGTTGGCACGATGATTTGCAGCTTGGCCTAAAATGCTAGTAGGGCGCTATATAGTGGGGAAATGGCGAAAGAACGGAGTGAAACGGTCAAAATCCTGCGAAGAAAGAGCCTCCGTTCTCAATGTGTTCAAAATCAATTTTGGACGAGTTTCCCGTAGGCATCTTGCCAATAACCGCTACCGAAGGTACGGCTGCATATGTGTACTCATATATCCATGCAGCATCACGGCCGCTTCATACCAATCCCTTCGCTTCATAATTTGCTTAGCAAATGAATCGATTAGAGCGTCAGGAACGGTCGTCCATTTGTGGGCGGGCGGGCGTTTGGGTCGGAATGTTGTGGCTTGATAGGGCCCTTATAAGGGCACCTTCCTTGGAAAGGCATTATGCCAAGCGTATTAATCCTGCTCGTCTTGGGGGATTTACCGTGCCAGCTGCCTTTAAGATTATTCCGGTTGTGATTAAATGAATCAGTGAAAAATACTGTTCTTTCGTGACCTATATAAAAAAGAAACGGGAGGGAGTGTGCAGTAATTGTTAGGCAGGACCAAAAGAGTTTGAAGTTAATTGTAATCAGTCTATTTCGAGAAAGGTTTGGCCATCCTGATAGGCAGGGAAGGAGCAATTTATTCTGGGCTTTCCATATTTTGTCCCACTTTTTAGGCAGATACTGATCGTTGTTTACTTTCGTGTTTTTGATGCTCGGTGAAGTTTCAAGTACTGCTCGTCCTTCTAGTGGCTCAAGTGGATTTTTTTAGTTTCCCACTCGTCGCTCAGCGGTTTGTGTGTATCCAATCCAAAAACATATCGAAAAGAAGTTTGAGGAGAACATAATGGATTGCTATAAAGGACTGTACACAAAGGTGAGCATGCGCGTCGATTTTTCCAGTCGCCTTTTTTCTGATTTCCACAAAACCTTTCTTTGATCGTGATGTTTAATATTTTCCAGCAGTTGCCATGGTTTAAATCGACGGCTAAATGCAAGACAACACATTTATCATGGAAAGATGTGGAATGCGGTCAAGATGTAAACACGAATATCGGTAATTAATAATTGTATTGACGTTATTATTGTTGTTTTCGCGAGAAAATCCCATAAATTTAATTATTGATGACTTTTACATCGGCTGGTCCCAGTGAGTCATTGTGAGCCAAATGTGTGTCTAGAGTGGTAATGTAATGGAAACAGAATCCTTCGGAAAGAAAATGATTTTTGCTAGAAGTTCTACAAAATTCCGGATCATTAATGGGCAATCGTGCACTTCCTCCCCCAAAGGTCGACTGACACTCATGGGGTGTTATGATTTTCATAACACCCGATTTTCTCGGAGTTCTGGTTTTTTGTTAGGTTTTGCTGTTGGATTTACACTCTCCACACTTCACACTTATTCCCAAAGATCGAGATACACTCCACATACAGAGATGGAGGGGGCGTGACTGCGTACGTCATTTGGATACGTCATAGTATGCGTCTTTCATGGGGAAATTCGTTTGTAACAGCTGTCCTCTTCCTGTTTTGCACTGCACAGATCGTCATCATCATTGTCTTCAAACGGTGTATACGAAGCGACCACGCCAAATGAGTTAGGTGACCACGCCCTTTCCATCTTTGTGATATGTGTATGGTATATGTGGTTTCACATTCAACGAAGGCAGCAGACCCTCCGATGGATCAAGGCTAGGGTGAAGGCTCTCCTGGAATAATATGAGTATCCAAGTGGTCCTGCAGTAAGAGGCGATCTTGTATACCGCACCTGCTGTGTAGCGCCTGGATCCGTTGCGCGATACCATATTCATTCGGCAAACGGCACTCGCTTGTCTTTCGCTTACCTGGTTACCATGAGGCACTCGGGTACTGCATGCCAGGAATTCGATGGGAATTGGATCATTTGTTCCAGTCTTTTTTTAGTATCTCGGACCGATTCTATAAGCATTTTCAATTAATCTCGTGACAAATGGCGGTCGTTAAAGTGGTTTCCTTCCCCGCGTTGGTTTGTTGTACGATTCCGTAGGTGGTAGGATGTTCCACAAACGTTTTTGGGGGTGCGTCTTTCAAGAAGTTGCGGAATCCCTTTTTTCTAGTTCACCACAAACTAGGCAACATAAGGATCTGACACACAAAGCGCTGATGAACTAGACCTGTCCGTGTAGAACCAGCGCCGCCAAAACCCTAGTGTCGTTTGATTGCGCTAATCCAGGTCAACTTACTCGTTTATTTGCAGCGTTCTTTTACGAATGCATGCGTCCGTTTCCCATTGTTCGCGTGAACACATCGTTCGCGCTCGTGACCGCTCATTATGGAACCATAAGGTGGTCAGTATGTGTCTGTGCGATGGGAAAAATGGAGCGGGATAACGAGAAGAGGACGTGTTTATTGTGGAGTTTCAGCTGTAATTGTGGCTGGGAATGTAGTCGTAACGATTGTAGTCAATTAGCGCAGTGACTTAGCCGACTCGACCTCTTTCGAGATTCAGCAGGATGTTGTGAGTTAGGGTGATGGGAAAGTAATAAAGCAGGCGGTTATGGGGCGATCGAAGGAGAAAAGTGCTGGCTTCCGACATCGATCAGCTTCTTTTTGGCGTAAGCCACACATCCTACTTCCGCTCAGAATCGTATGTGGCATTTTTAGCGCGATTTGCTGACGCAATGACTTGTCTGAGCTAGCCGATATACTAAGCAGCTTTCTATGCTCCCGGAACAGTCTGGTACCAGTTAATCTATTTCAATGAGTTTGGTTTAGCACAATAAGAAATCAATGAGATTCATCTTCCGAACAATGTGTGGGTGAAGGGCGCCACTTGTGCAAGCTTCCTTCATGATTCTTATGAAAAAATAATTTTATTATATATAAAGTACTCTCCACATGTTGGGCTCCATGGTTTATTCCTTTATATCAGTTTATTCCTTTATATCATTAAATGAGGTATTCGGGAATCGCTCGTGGTTGTATGATGCCACGAAGAGATGCGGCTTCGACAGAGTTAGAGTCTGACCCTATGAGCTAAGGTATGCAGGATAACACCTCTACCCATCACGAAACATCCTCTTACTATTCAGGAGCATTTTACCACTGAATACCGCTCATTATCAGTAGCATCATTTGATAGGCTCAAGTCTATTCAGTTTGCAACTGGCAGGTACACTTTAGTGAACTTACCGAATAATACTTCGTGATAGCGAGTAATATTGAGTGATAGTCAATGATGTTGAATAGTAGCAGAGTGTGACGTAATATATAGAGGTGTTACATTGCATTTCTCGGCGCATGAGATCAGATTCAGCCCTGTCGATTTAGCCGAAATCTCTTTGAGGCAATCAACTAGCACGGCCACAAAGGCAGTGATCCAAGCCTTAGCCTGTCATGCTATGGCAAAATCAGACTCAAATGCGCCCTCCAATGGAATAGAGGTAGAAAGCATGGCGCACTCGAGATGGCTCCAACATCAAGCGTTCAACAGTCGCGTTTTTTGAAGTTACCCTATTTTAGGTGGCGGAAAACCGATTTCTGCTGAACCAGTGTTAACGGTGAACGATGCGCGTTTCACAGCGATCGCAGTGAATACCACGAGAGGATCGACGGTGGCGTTTATTGGCACGGATGATGGAAGGATATTGAAGGTAAATGGGTTTCTTTTTTCCCCGGTGTTTCTTGAAGACACATGGTACGCTCAAACACATTGAGGGTGTATGAGACTATCAGCCCCCAGCTGTCGATGTGTCGTGGTCCCCCCGCCCAAACATGCCCAGGAATGGAGATACAGGACCGTGAAACACGCTAATTCCTCCATGCTCCGCCTTACACCTTTTTGCGGCGCAGATTCCCGTCCTTCATAACATCCGTCGTAAGCGCGCGTGTCGC